TCAACCAGGACTAAACCAGGACTGAACCAGGACTAATCCAGGACTAATCCAGGACTAAACCAGGACTAAACCAGGACTAATCCAGGACTAAACCAGGACTAAACCAGGACTAAACCAGGACTAAACCAGGACTAAACCAGGACTAAACCCAGGACTAAACCAGTAAACCAGGACTAAACCAGGACTAAACCAGGACTGGACTAATCCAGGACTAAAACCAGGACTAAACCAGGACTAAACCAGGACGGGACTAATCCAGGACTAAACCAGGACTGAAACCAGGACTAAACTAAACCAGGACTAAACCAGGACTAAACCAGGACTAAACCAGGACTAAATAAACCAGGACTAAACCAGGACTAATCCAGGACTAAAACCCAGGACTAACCAGGACTAATCCAGGACTAAACCAGGACTCAACCAGGACTAAACTAGGACTGAACCAGGACTAATCCAGGACTAAACCAGGACTAAACCAGGACTAAACCAGGACTAAACCTGGACTAATCCAGGACTAATCCAGGACTAAACCAGGACTAAACCAGGACTGAACCAGGACTAAACCAGGACTAAACTAGGACTAATCCAGGACTGAACCAGGACTAATCCAGGACTAAACCAGGACTAAACCAGGACTCAACCAGGACTAAACCAGGACTAAACCAGGACTAATCCAGGACTAAACCAGGACTAAACCAGGACTGAACCAGGACTAAACCAGGACTAAACCAGGACTGAACCAGGACTTAAACCAGGACTAATCCAGGACTAAACCAGGACTGAACCAGGACTAAACCAGGACTAAACCAGGACTAACCAGGACTAACCAGGACTCAACCAGGACTAAACCAGGACTAAACCAGGATTAAACCAGGACTGAACCAGGACTAAATCAGGACTAAACCAGGACTGAACCAGGACTAAACCAGGACTAAACCAGGACTGAACCAGGACTAATCCAGGACTAAACCAGGACTCAACCAGGACTAAACCAGAACTAAACCTGGACTAATCCAGGACTAATCCAGGACTAAACCAGGACTAAACCAAGACTAAACCAGGACTAATCCAGGACTAAACCAGGACTAAACCAGGACAAAACCAGGACTGAACCAGGACTAAACCAGGACTGAACCAGGACTGAACCAGAACTAAACCAGGACTAAACCAGGACTGAACCAGGAATAAACCAGGACTAAACCAGGACTAATCCAGGACTCAACCAGGACTAAACCAGGACTGAACCAGGACTAATCCAGGACTAAACCAGGACTCAACCAGGACTAAACCAGGACTAAACCTGGACTAATCCAGGACTAAACCAGGACTTAAACCAGGACTGAACCAGGACTAAATCAGGACTAAACCAGGACTGAACCAGGACTAAACCAGGACTAAACCAGGACTGAACCAGGACTAATCCAGGACTAAACCAGGACTCAACCAGGACTAAACCAGAACTAAACCTGGACTAATCCAGGACTAATCCAGGACTAAACCAGGATTTAACCAGGACTAAACTAGGACTAATCCAGGACTTAACCAGGACTAATCCAGGACTAAACCAGGACTAAACCAGGACTCAACCAGGACTAAACCAGGACTGAACCAGAACTAAACCAGGACTAAACCAGGACTGAACCAGGAATAAACCAGGACTAAACCAGGACTAATCCAGGACTCAACCAGGACTAAACCAGGACTGAACCAGGACTAATCCAGGACTAAACCAGGACTCAACCAGGACTAAACCAGGACTAAACCTGGACTAATCCAGGACTAATCCAGGACTAAACCAGGACTAAACCAGGACTGAACCAGGACTAAACCAGGACTTAACCAGGACTAAACTAGGACTAATCCAGGATTTAACCAGGACTAATCCAGGACTAAACCAGGACTCAACCAGGACTAAACCAGGACTAAACCAGGACTAAACCAGGACTAAACCAGGACTGAACCAGGACTAAACCAGGACTAAACCAGGACTGAACCAGGACTAAACCAGGACTAAACCAGGACTGAACCAGGATTAAACCAGGACTAATCCAGGACTAAACCAGGACTGAACCAGGACTAAACCAGGACTAAACCAGGACTGAACCAGGACTAAACCAGGAGTAAACCAGGACTAAACCAGGACTGAACCAGGACTAAACCAGGACTAAACCAGGACTGAACCAGGACTAAACCAGGACTAAACCAGGACTCAACCAGGACTCAACCAGGACTAATCCATGACTAAACCAGGATTAAACCAGGACTGAACCAGGACTAAATCAGGACTAAACCAGGACTGAACCAGGACTAATCCAGGACTAAACCAGGACTGAACCAGGACTAATCCAGGACTAAACCAGGACTAAACCAGGACTAAACCAGGACTGAACCAGGAGTAAACCAGGACTAAACTAGGACTAATCCAGGACTAAACCAGGACTAAACCAGGACTAAACCAGGACTGAACCAGAACTAACCAGGACTAAACCAGGACTGAACCAGGACTAAACCAGGACTAAACCAGGACTGAACCAGGACTAATCCAGGACTAAACCAGGACTAAACCAGGACTCAACCAGGACTCAACCAGGACTAATCCAGGACTAATCCAGGACTAAACCAGGATTAAACCAGGACTGAACCAGGACTAAATCAGGACTAAACCAGGACTAATCCAGGACTAAACCAGGACTAAACCAGGACTAAACCTGGACTAATCCAGGACTAATCCAGGACTAAACCAGGACTAAACCAGGACTAAACCAGGACTGAACCAGGACTAAACCAGGACTAAACCAGGACTAAACTAGGACTAATCCAGGACTAATCCAGGACTAAACCAGGACTAAACCAGGACTAATCCAGGACTAAACCAGGACTAAACCAGGACTGAACCAGGACTAAACCAGGACTAATCCAGGACTAAACCAGGACTGAACCAGGACTAAACCAGGACTAAACCAGGACTGAACCAGGACTAAACCAGGACTAAACCAGGACTGAACCAGGATTAAACCAGGACTAAACCAGGACTGAACCAGGACTAAACCAGGACTGAACCAGGACTAAACCAGGACTAAACCAGGACTGAACCAGGACTAAACCAGGACTGAACCAGGACTAAACCATGACTGACCCAGGACTAAACCATGACTGAACCAGGACTGAACCAGGACTGAACCAGGACTGAACCGGGACTGTGTTGCAGGTTTGTGAGTGTGCTCAGGTTGGAGGAAGTCCAAATGAACCAAACAGGAAGTTACGTCGCCACTGTTTCCAATGACGATGACATCAAAGAGGTGGAGTTCAGGCTGGAGGTCAGAGGTCAGCCCCGCCCCTTGTGTTCCTCTGCTCTAGACACTCAAAATGTTCCGCAATGCAGCTTTTATTTTATAGTAACTTAAGTTCTTTGTTTAAGAGGAGATGTTCAGATGTGGCACAGGCGCTGGGCTTTGGGGTTTAAAGTTTAAATGGAGGATTCTGGAATGGTTCAGGTTTAGGTTCAGGTCAAGGTCCAGGTCCAGGTTTAGGTTCAGGTCAAGGTCCAGGTTTAGGTTCAGGTTCAGGTCAAGGTCCAGGTCCAGGTTCAGGTCCAGGTTTAGGTTCAGGTCAAGGTCCAGGTCCAGGTCCAGGTTTAGGTTCAGGTCCAGGTTTAGGTTCAGGTCAAGGTCCAGGTCCAGGTTTAGATTCAGGTCAAGGTCCAGGTTTAGGTTCAGGTTCAGGTCAAGGTCCAGGTTCAGGTCCAGGTTTAGGTTCAGGTCAAGGTCCAGGTCCAGGTTTAGGTTCAGGTCAAGGTCCAGGTCCAGGTTCAGGTTTAGGTCCAGGTCCAGGTTCAGGTCCAGGTACACCTTCAGACTGGGATCGGCCAAACGGGCTTGTCTTAGGGGCTGTGGGCGGGGTTAGGAGTTGTGGGAGGGGTTAGGGGATGCGGGCGGGGTTAGGGGCTGTGGGCGGGGTTAGGGGCTGTGGGCGGGCTTAGGGGGTGAGAGACATTCAGACTTTGCCTCTGTCTAAGCCCCGCCCTCTGTGTGACAGCGCCCCCTCGGATCCGCGCTCTGTCAGAGGTGGGCGTGGCCTCTGTGCTGTGTGTGTCTGAGGCAGCCCCGCCCCCAAAGATCACCTGGCTCACCTGCCCCCCTGAACTCAGGTAAGACCAGGACTAAACCAGGACTAAACCAGGACTGAACCAGGACTGAACCAGGACTGAACCAGTGTTGTGTTCAGGTGCAGTGACGACGGTTGGACAAACGTTTCTGTCGATGCGTCCATCAAAGAAAACTCCACAGAAAAACAGGGACTCACTCAGGTAAGAAGAAAAAAAAACAAAAAACGGCTGGGATCCCCCTCTAGACCAGGTAAGATCCTCCAGAATGAGCCTGGTTCAGACCTGAGTTAATCCGGTTGTGATCTTCCCTCAGGTCCACAGTGTTCTGACCCTCAGGTCGTTAGACTCGGTGTCTGGGGTTCGATGTGAATCTAAAAACTCAGTGGGACGTCGAGCCTGGGACATCAGACTGGTCTCCTCCTGTGAGTCTTTAAAAACACGAAGGAGAAGAGTTAAAGCCGTAAGCGGCATCGAAGGACCCTCACTCAGAGTCTGTTGTGGTGCCTTTGGGCAACATGTCTCACTAAACAGACATGGTTCATTGCCATGTAAACACCGTCAAAATATAACTTTGAATACAAAATGTTTGTGATCAGGACGAACTGAAGAGTCTCTGTGCCAAATTTCACATTTTTACTGAAACAAAAAAGATGTTCTGTTACTTTGAAATGTAATAAAATTCAGACATTTTTTTTTTTTTTAGAGTAACATGGGCAACACTGTTCTAATAACAACATCGGCCCCATGGATCTTTTGATTGTGACGACATGAAGAGTCATGCTGTCAAATGAATGGGAAATTTAGGGATCTCTCCCATTAGAATAACATCACCATGGCAACACAATTATAAATACATGTTCTCATGGACGTTTTTGTTTGGGATGAACAAATGAAATTTGAATTTCATAACATTCCTGAAAACTACATTTTTGGTCATACATTTATGTGTCACTCTGTGGGGGGCGCCGTCTCCTGTTTAGTTTCATTCACACTGAGCAGGATTCAGTTTTAGAACAACTTTAACTTAACAAATTATATATAACTAACTATAACTCTGTTTACACAAACAAGCACATTTTTAAATTTAAAATTTGTGGTTGGAGTCAAAATGGACTCCCAGGTTTACACCTGGTTTAGTCCTGGTGTAGACCTGGTTTAGTCCTGGTGTAGCCCTGGTTTAGACCTGGTTCTTTGTGTGCAGCTCTCTTGTCTCAGGTGAAGGTTCTCGCTGCAGTTCTGGTTCTGGTGGTTCTGGCCGTGATCTTCCTCATCCTCCTCATCATCCTCTGGAAAAAGGTACCAGTCCCAGTCCTGGTTTAGTCCGGGTTCAGTCCTGGTTCAGTCCTGGTCCAGTCCTGGTTCAGTCCTGGTTCAGTCCTGGTTCAGTCCTGGTCCAGTCCTGGTTCAGTCCTGGTTCAGTCCTGGTCCAGTCCTGGTTCAGTCCTGGTTCAGTCCTGGTTCAGTCCTGGTTCAGTTCTGGTTCTGTGTTGTGTTCCAGAAGCCTCGTTGGGTTCTGGGTTGGCGTTTGCTCGACTCAGTTCCTTCAGACGCTCTGGACTCTTCAGTGTCGTTCTGTGACTCTGAGCTGCCGTACGAGCCCCAGTGGGAGGTGCCCAGAGACCGAGTCCAACTGGGTGAGACCTGATAGTCCTCCTCTCCCTCTCCTCTGAGTTTAACCTCTCTCTCCCTCTCTCTCTCTCTCTCTCTCTCTCTCTATCATCATTCTCTTTCTCTCTGTTTCTCTCCTTCAGGTTCTGTGTTGAGTTCTGGTTCTTTCGGGAGGATCCTGGAGGCTTCAGTTCTGGGTTTGTCTGGTCCAGAGTCCAGCTCCAAAGTCACGGTCCTGAAGGCCAAAGGTACCTCAAGTACTGTGGAACTTTTCTGTTGGGGCGTCCATCACCCGCTTGTTTCCGTGGATACGTCATCGCTTTAACTGAACTGTTCCGCAGTGTGACTTTAAACAGCTCAACTTTACATTTATTCACGTACAGGTGGATTTAGAGCTCAAAAAATACCTCGAAAAACATTTATTCTGACTGTGAGCGGGGTCGCCTCTTCACAGATCTGACCCATGACTTGGTGTGGTTTGGTCTCCATGGAAATAGAAAGGTTTAATGCCGCACTGTGGAACATTCCAGACAAAACAATAGACTTTAAAGCCACCAACCTTTGTTTCATTCACAAAAACCCTCCACATTTAGACTTATTTAGTTCTTCTCTCAAACCGAAAACACTCTGTTCCACCTTGTGATGTCATCATGTGGTGATACATGAAGTGCTCCACTGTGTTTTTAAACTCCACACACCTTCACTAGAATCATGTGTCCTGGAATCTCTACTGAACTAAAGGGAAAAGGAAAACTACCACTTCGTGACATCACAAGGTGGAACAGAGCTTGGTTTAGTCCTGGTTTAGTCCTGGTTCAGTCCTGGTTTAATCCTGGTTCAGTCCTGGTTTAGATAGATAGATAGATTTATTTATTGTCATTGTATGAAATACAACAAAACTTCAGCAGAGCAGATCTGTAGCAGTAAAAATTTACAATATATACACACATCCTCACATCCATACCAATAAAAAACAAAAAACAAACATTTATTAAATAAAACAAATAGATTATTGCACTGAGTCCCTTCAGGTCTTTTATCTGTGCCTGTGCCCTTGGAGCACGTCCACTGCTCGTGGATAGAAGCTGTTGCGCAGCCTGTTTGTGCGTGTGAGGGGAGTTTGAAGTCTTCCTGAGGGGAGAGTGTGGAAGAGGCAGTTCCCGGGGTGTGTGGGGTCCTGCAAAATGTTGGAGGCCCGTGTGTGGAGACGTGAAGAGTAGATGGTGTCCAGGTTCGGGAGTGAGGAGCCCACCACCTTTTCAGCTGTTCTCACCACTCGCTGCAGGTCCTTCTTTTCAGCAGCTGTGCAGGCTCCATACCATGATGTACAGCAGTACGTTAGAACGCTTTCGATGGTGCACCGGTAAAAGTTGGTTAGGAGCTTCTGGGAGAGCCCGTTCTGGCGGAGTGTTCGTAGAAAAAACAGTCTCCGCTGGGCACGCTTTATAACGCTGATGGTGTTTAGGCTCCAGGTTAGATTCTCACTGATCTCCACACCCAGGAACTTAAAGTTGGAGACCCTCTCTACCTCTTCTCCGTTGATGTAGAGGCCAATGTGATGGGGAATGCATTTGTTAGTCCTGGTTTCGTCCTGGTTCAGTCCTGGTTCAGGTCTGGTTTAGTCCTGGTTCAGGTTCAGTCCTGGTTCAGGTTCAGTCCTGGTTTAGTCCTGGTTCAGGTCTGGTTCAGTCCTGGTTCAGTCCTGGTTCAGGTCTGGTTCAGTCCTGGTTCAGTCCTGGTTCAGGTCTGGTTCAGTCCTGGTTCAGTCCTGGTTCAGGTCTGGTTTAGTCCCGGTCCAAACCTGTGTTTTCTCCTGTAGGTGGCGCTGTTCACTCTCTCCTCTCAGACCTGAAGATCCTGATCCACGTTGGTCCTCACCTGAACCTCCTGAACCTGAAGGGAGCCTGCACCAAAGGTAAAGCCAGATGCCCTCCCCGTGTGCCAGATGTACAGTTGTAGGGAGTATTATCTGTGACAAAAGGGTGAGGTGTTGTACAGTTGTAGGGAATATTATCTGTGATAAAAGGGTGAGTTGTTGTACAGTTGTAGGGAGTATTATCTGTGACATAAGGATGAGTTGTACAGTTGTAGGGAGTATTATCTGTGACATAAGGTTGAGTTGTACAGTTGTAGGGAGTATTATCTGTTACATAAGGGTGAGTTGTTGTGCAGTTGTAGGGAGTATTATCTGTTACATAAGGGTGAGTGGTTGTACAGTTGTAGGGAGTATTATCTGTTACATAAGGGTGAGTGGTTGTACAGTTGTAGGGAGTATTATCTGTTACATAAGGTTGAGTTGTAGGGAGTATTATCTGTCACATAAGGATGAGTTGTTGTGCAGTTGTAGGGAGTATTATCTGTGACATAAGGTTGAGTTGTACAGTTGTAGGGAGTATTATCTGTTACATAAGGGTGAGTTGTTGTGCAGTTGTAGGGAGTATTATCTGTTACATAAGGGTGAGTGGTTGTACAGTTGTAGGGAGTATTATCTGTTACATAAGGTTGAGTTGTAGGGAGTATTATCTGTCACATAAGGATGAGTTGTTGTGCAGTTGTAGGGAGTATTATCTGTGACATAAGGTTGAGTTGTACAGTTGTAGGGAGTATTATCTGTCACATAAGGATGAGTTGTTGTACAGTTGTAGGGAGTATTATCTGTCACATAAGAATGAGTTGTACAGTTGTAGGGAGTATTATCTGTCACATAAGAATGAGTTGTACAGTTGTAGGGAGTATTATCTGTCACATAAGTGTGAGTTGTATAGTTGTAGGGAGTATTATCTGTCACATAAGAATGAGTTGTACAGTTGTAGGGAGTATTATCTGTCACATAAGTGTGAGTTGTACAGTTGTAGGGAGTATTATCTGTCACATAAGGATGAGTTGTTGTACAGTTGTAGGGAGTATTATCTGTTACATAAAGGCGAGTTGTTGTACAGTTGTAGGGAGTATTATCTGTTACATAAAGGCGAGTTGTTGTACAGTTGTAGGGAGTATTATCTGTTACATAAGGGTGAGTTGTTGTGCAGTTGTAGGGAGTATTATCTGTGACATAAGGGTGAGTTGTACAGTTGTAGGGAGTATTATCTGTCACATCCTTTGCGCAGGGAGCCTCATGGTGATCTCAGAGTGGTGTTGCCATGGAGACCTCAGCTCGTACCTGAAGAAGCACAGAGACACCTGCAGCTCTGGCCCCGCCTCCTCCCACAGGTATGTCCGGCCGCCATCTTGGGACTGGACACATTCTCCCATAAGGATCATTTAGAGCTCCACCCGAGGTCACGTTTCACTTTTCCACACGTTTGAGATTTGCTGTTGTGGTTGCGCCCTCCAGTGGACACAAAACTGTACTACACTTCACGTTTAATCCATTTGAAAACGGATTTAAACGAATTATTTATGAACGACAAAGCTCTTAAACGGGAGCGTGTGCGGTAGTTTCATTAGTGAGTGTGCTATGAGAGCGCTCTGAAGGGGGAGTGCCTTAGCCTGAGGAGCAAAGTTTTTTCTGGTTACTATTTTTGACTGAGATTTTTATTTTTATATCAAACAGGAAACATTAAAACCCCGGAAGTGGAAATACTTTACAGTTTTGTATTTGGTTTGATTTGATTTTTAAACTTTATTTGACTTTATTTTTCTGCTGCGTTTCACATGAACTTTACTTTTGAATTCACATCATTAAGTCAAATTTTAGGAATTGACAAACTGAACTGAAAGTGATTCATTTTTGGAGAGAAATTCGCCAAAAGCAGAAGTATAAACATGGATTTTACAACAAAAGCAATTTGTTCTTTCGTTGAATTTCCAGTAAAAGTGAAGACACTGCTTTTGAATTCATTATTGGGTTTTGCGTAAAACATGAGATTAATCACACGAAACGAAGAGATTAAAGCGATTACGAATTTTTTATATTACCCAGCCCTGTCAAATACCACTGTATAGGCGAGTTTCATTGTTGACAAAAGCGTGCGTTGCATGCTGGGAATTATTTTGGTCGGCAGCAAGAAACATTAATTCAACATGACGGACGGAGCGAGAAAGCACGTAAAGGGTACTGATCCCGGTTATTTATCCACTCTAACGGCAGAGAACCCAAGACCATTTGACCAGAAATTGGTCATAAGCATCAATGGACGCCAAATCAAACTTTTCAACCCCGACAGAGCCTGGACCAAACCAAATTTCTGGTCAGAATCACCAACTACCTGGACAAATATTCACTTTGGCGATATCCACAATGACTTGGTGGAAACTCCTGGGCCATTCACAGCAGAAAAGATGAAAACCTCCAAGAGTCTCGATGTGTTGTTGAACTTGTTGGAGTCCACGGTTTGTTAGGATCTTCTACATTTGCTCTGCAGATGTTTGAAAGCCGTTTAATTCACCGTTAGTGGTTCTTTTCACTCGGAATATGAAAAAGACATTTTCCTTCTTCTGTGCTTCTATTTGTGCATCTGATAATGCAGCAGGAATTTACCATTATCGGGGAGAAATACACGAGGTTACGCACTGTGTTTGACCGCTATCGTGCTTCTTGCCTCCGACCAAAATATTCCCCAGCATGCAACACGGGCTTTTAATAACAGTGACGTCAGTTGAAACTCGCCTATAATACATGCATCCCGAATTTCAGACTTCCAGTCATCGCACAATTCATACTGGGAAGGATTTTCCGAAAAAGTGAGCATCAAACCTCCATGTTTGTTTTCCACAGGAAGAACCAAAAAGGAAACATTTGTCTGACTAAGAAATCATCCCGAGTTTACAGAGAACATTTTGTATGTGGAGCGACAACAAAACAAAATCCAGATACGTCGCTCAACCTCGGTTACGAATTTAAAAAGTCAACACCAAAGTGAAAGGCTCCAGCTGTTCACCAAGAAACACCTTCCACTGCAAAGAGACCAAGACGTGATGTTTCTGTAAAACCACAAGAACAAGAAAGTGCAGCTCAGTCTGTTTGTCTTCTGCTCCTCTCACTTAACAAACGGGATTTTGTTTTGTTGTCGCTCCACATACAAAATGTTCTCTGTAAACTCGGGATGATTTCTTAGTCAGTCAAATGTTTCCTTTCTGGTTCTTCCTGTGGATCAATCCTGCCCATCACCTTCACCTTTCACTATTTTTCAATTCTGTTGGGAAGAGAAACAGTTTGAACAGAGGTTTGAGTCACACACATCTGATTCACTTTTGCAGTTATGGAGTTCACAAACACATTTCTCGAGTCGTTTTCCGCTGTTAGGATCCAACAACCACACAATTATGACGTCCGAATCCCAAAACTAAAATATGACAATATCAGAACCAGAAACAAAAGTGAAATGGTTCAAAAGACTTGAAAAGATCGACTTTGACAATAGACACATCCCACTGGGAAAACAAACATGGAGGTTTGATGCTCACTTTTTCGGAATTCAGGATGTGTGTAAAATCCGTGTGGAGTTAAATCCGTGTGGAGTTAAATCCGTGTGGAGTTAAATCTGTGTGGAGTTAAATCCGTGTGGAGTTAATTCTCTGGTGTGTTGTTTCAGTGACATGTACATGGACCTGAGCTCTGAGCCTCAGTACGTCGCCATGAAGCAGCTGTGTGTCCCTCAAGAACCAGAGTACGAGCTCCTGCACAACACAACGCACAACACAGGTACACACACACACACACACACACACACACAACACACAACGCACAACACAGGTACACAACACACACACAACGCACAACACAGGTACACAACACACACACAACGCACAACACAGGTACACACACACACAACAACACAACGCACAACACAGGTACACACACACACACACACAACACACAACGCACAACACAGGTACACAACACACACACAACGCACAACACAGGTACACACACACACACAACAACACAACGCACAACACAGGTACACACACACACACACACACAACACAGGTAACACACACACACAACACACGCACAACACAGGTACACACACACAACACACAACACAGGTACACAACACACACACAACGCACAACACAGGTACACACACACACACAACAACACAACGCACAACACAGGTACACACACACACACACACACAACACACAACGCACAACACAGGTACACAACACACACACAACGCACAACACAGGTACACACACACACACACAACGCACAACACAGGTACACACCCACACACAACAACACAACGCACAACACAGGTACACAACACACAACGCACAACACAACACACAACACACAACACAACACAACGCACAACACAGGTACACAACACACAACACAGGTACACAACACACACACAATGCACAACACACAACACAGACAACGTACAACACAACGCACAACACAGGTACACAACACAGGTACACAACACACACAACACACAACACAGGTACACAACACACACACACACACAACGCACACACAGGTACACAACACAGGTACACAACACACACAACACAGGTACACAACACACACAACACAACACAGGTACACAGCACACACACACAACACACAACACAGGTACACAACACACACAAACACACACAACACACAACACAGGTACACAACACACACAACACACAACACAGGTACACAACACACACAACACACAACACAACAACACACACACGCACAAACACACACACACACACAACACACACACAACACAACAACAACACACACACAACACACACACACACACAACGCAGGAACACAACACACAACACAGGTACACAACACACACAACAACACAACACACACAACACAGGTACACAACACACACACAACACACAACGCAGGTACACAACACACAACAACACAACACAGGTACACAACAACGCACAACAACACAACACAGCGCACAACACACACAACATGGAGATAGAAAGGTTTAATGCCATACTGTGGAACATTATAGAATAAAGTTCCACAGTGCAGCTTTAAACGTGACTGTTCCCTGTCAGACCCACAGGGGGCGCTGTCTCCAGACGACCTGTCTGTGTCAGATCTGCTCTTCTTCTGTTTCCAAACGGCCAGCGCCATGGACTTCCTGTCACAGAGAAACGTGAGTATGTCCCGCAGTGTGGCTTTAACCCTTTAACTCACGTCCGGATCCTAAAACCCTCCCAGCCTGGACTAAATCAGGTCTAAACCAGGTCTAAACCAGGTATAACTATTGCACTACCATTAAAATGCCTGGTCCACCTCAGACCACATTTGGGCTGGACTTCCTCTCTCCCGGGGTCTTCAGTTTTCACAGTCTTGAGTGATGTGGGACGATCCAGAGGAAAAAAAGCAGAATTTTGTTCCCAGTTCGACTCTGACGTCACCGATTCTCCAGAAATCTACAAAACATCACAGAAACTGATGTAAATGTTCTGTTATAGTAAAGACCAAATAAAAGTGAAATACTCCCACTTTAAATATTATCTACATATTTATGTGACGTTCTACTGCAGCTGATTCACACACTGTGTACTGATGTACTAGACACACTGTGTGTATGTACTGTATGTACTTTTATATGTTGTATATACTTGTACATACTGTATAAACTGCATATTGTATATACTTGTATATACTGTATATACTTGTATATACTTGTACATACTTGTATGTACTTGAACATATTTGTACATACTTGTATATACTTGTATATACTGTACATACTTGTATATACTTGTACATACTTGTATATACTTGTACATACTTGTATAAACTGCATACTTGTATATACTTGTATATACTGTATATACTTGTATATATTGTATATACTTGTGCATACTTGTATATATTTGTATATACTGTATATACTTGTATATACTTGTACATACTTGTATATACTTGTACATATTTGTATATACTTGTATATACTTGTGCATACTTGTATATATTTGTATATACTTGTACATATACTTGTATATACTTGTACATACTTGTATATACTGTATATACTTGTATATATTGTATATACTTGTGCATACTTGTATATATTTGTATATACTGTATATACTTGTATATACTTGTACATACTTGTATATACTTGTATATACTTGTATATACTGTACATACTTGTATTTACTTGTATATACTGTACATACTTGTATATACTTGTATACTTACGTGTACTGTGTGGTGTTCAGGTGGTGCATCGGGACCTCGGCGCTCGGAACGTTCTCGTGTCTGAAGGAAAAATTCTGAAGATTTGTGATTTTGGTTTTGGCCAAAACCTGAAAGAAAGAAAAGAGTACGAGAAGAAAGGAAACGTACGAAATATACACAAAAATATACAAATATGCACAAATATTCACAAATATACACAAAAATATACAAATATGCACAAATATACACAAATATACACAAAAATATACAAATATGCACAAATATACACAAATATATATACAAATATACACAAGTATATACAATTGTCCAATACTTATGCAGTACTTGTACTGTAGTAGTGAAGTACCTATGCAGTACTTGTACTGTAGTAGTGCAGTACTTATGCAGTACTTGTCCTGTAGTAGTGCAGTACTTATGCAGTACTTGTCCTGTAGTAGTGCAGTACTTATGCAGTACTTGTACTGTAGTAGTGCAGTACTTATGCAGTACTTGTACTGTAGTAGTGCAGTACTTATGCAGTACTTGTCCTGTAGTAGTGCAGTACTTATGCAGTACTTGTCCTGTAGTAGTGCAGTACTTATGCAGTACTTGTCCTGTAGTAGTGCAGTACTTATGCAGTACTTGTCCTGTAGTAGTGCAGTACTTATGCAGTACTTGTCCTCAGGCGCGTCTCCCGGTGAAGTGGATGTCTCCAGAGAGTATCTTCCTCTGTGTTTACACGACTCAGAGCGACGTGTGGTCCTACGGAGTCCTGCTCTGGGAGATCTACTCTATGGGTCAGTACTACAGTACTCCAGTACTCCAGTACTACTGTAGTACTGGAGTACTGCAGTTTTATGATGTGTAAACCCTGGTCTGTCTCTTGTTTCAGGAGAACTTCCGCACTCGGACGTTTCTGTGTCTCAGTTTTGCTCTGACCTGAAAAACGGAAAACGCCTCGAAAAACCAGAGCTCGCCCCGGAAGAAATGTACCACACACACGACCCAGTACACACACATGACCCAGTACACACAGAACACATACATGACCCAGTACACACACATGACCCAGAACACACACATGACCCAGTACACACACATGACCCAGAACACACACACATGACCCAGTACACACACATGACCCAGAACACACACATGACCCAGTACACACACATGACCCAGTACACACACATGACCCAGTACACACACATGACCCAGTGACCCAGAACACACATGACCCAGACACACACAGTACACACACATGACCCAGTACACACAGACACCACATGACCCAGACACACACACACCAGACACACACACACGACCCAGAACACACACACCCAGACACACATGACCAGTACAGACACGACACAGAACACACACATGACCCAGTACACACACACCAGACACACACACAGACACAGACCCAGTACACACACACGACCCAGAACACACACACGACCCAGTACACACACACATGACCCAGTACACACACACACACACGACCCAGAACACACACACACACATGACCCAGTACACACACACACGACCAGTACACACACACCCAGACACGACCCAGAACACACACACGACCCAGTACACACACACGACCCAGAAACACACACACAGACCCAGTAACACACACGTACACACATGACCCAGTACACACACACGACCCAGTACACACATGACCCAGTACACACATGACCCAGTACACACACGACCCAGAACACACACACGACATAGTACACACATGACCCAGTACACACATGACCCAGTACACACACATGACCCAGTACACACACGACCCAGTACACACACACGACCCAGTACACACACATGACCCAGAACACACACATGACCCAGAACACACACATGACCCAGTACACACACATGACCCAGTACACACACATGACCCAGAACACACACAAGACCCAGTACACACACATGACCCAGTACACACATGACCCAGTACACACACACGACCCAGTACACACATGACCCAGTACACACATGACCCAGTACACACACGACCTAGAACACACACACGACATAGTACACACATGACCCAGTACACACATGACCCAGTACACGCACATGACCCAGTACACACACGACCCAGTACACACATGACCCAGAACACACACGACCCAGTACACACACGACCTAGTACACACACGACCCAGTACACACACGACCCAGTACACACACGACCTAGTACACACACGACCCAGTACACACACGACCCAGTACACACACGACCTAGTACACACACGACCCAGTACACACACGACCCAGTACATGACCCAGTACACACACGACCCAATACACACATGACCCAGTACACACACGACCCAGTACGCACGACCCGGTACACACGTGACCCAGAACACACACGACCCAGTACACACATGACCCAGTACACACATGACCCAGTACACACACGACCCAGTACACACATGACCCAGTACACACATGACCCAGTACACACATGACCTGCTATATTTGTCGTGTTGTGTTTGTGTACAGTTTTGAGCTGATGTGCGCTTGTTGTGTGTATATTTGTTGTGTTGTTGTGTTGTTGTGTATATTTGTCGTGTTGTTGTGTATATTTGTCGTGTTGTTTGTGTTTGTGTACAGTTTTGAGTTGATGTGCGCTTGTTGTGTGTATATTTGTTGTGTTGTCGTGTTGTTGTATATATTTGTCGTGTTGTTGTGTATATTTGTCGTGTTGTGTATATTTGTCGTGTTGTGTTTGTGTACAGTTTTGAGCTGATGTGCGCTTGTTGTGTGTATATTTGTTGTGTTGTCGTGTTGTTGTGTATATTTGTCGTGTTGTTGTGTATATTTGTCGTGTTGTGTTTGTGTACAGTTTTGAGTTGATGTGCGCTTGTTGGGAGCAGAGTCCAGACTCCAGACAGACGTTCTCGTCTTTGGTCGAGTCTCTAGGAAAAATGTTACCTGCCCAAAGTCTCCAGGTCTGATACACACACACACACACACACACACACACAAACACACAAGAGAAACACACTCACACAGCTCCAAAGATCAGTTCTGATGCTCCTCTGACGTTGGAGGGCACCTGACACACGGGGAGGGCACCTGGTTTAAATGTGGCGTTACGTTTGAGGAACTGGCTCCTGCTTTTTGTGAAATCTCAGTCCTGGTTTTGGGGAAGTCTAAACCTGGACCAACAAGGATCAGAACAGATCTAGACCTGGACTCTGTCTGGTGTCGGGTCTAAATCTGGTCTGAAGCTGGTTTAAAACTGATCTAAACCTGGTCTAAATCTAGTCTAAAGCTGGGCCAAACCTGGTCTGAACTCGGTCTTAACCGTTCCTGGACCTGGTCTAAATTGGGTCTAAACCTGGTCTAAATCTGGTCTAAACCTGATCTAAACCTGATCTAAACCTGGACTAAACCCAGTCTAAACCTGGTCTAAATCTGGTCTAAACCTGATCTAAACCTGATCTAAACCTGGACTAAACCCAGTCTAAACCCGGTCTAAATCTGGTCTAAACCTGATCTAAACCTGGACTAAACCTGGTCTAAACCAGGTTTAAAGCTGATCTAAACCTGATCTAAACCTGGACGAAACCCGGTCTAAACCTGGTCTAAACCCGGTCTAAACCTGATCTAAACCTGGTCTAAACCCGGTCTAAACCTGGTCTAAACCTGGTCTAAACCCGGTCTAAAGCTGATCTAAACCTGATCTAAACCTGGTCTAAACCCGGTCTAAACCTGGTCTACACCTGGTCTAAACCCGGTCTAAACCTGGTCTAAACCCGGTCTAAACCCGGTCTAAAGCTGATCTAAACCTGATCTAAACCCGGTCTAAACCTGATCTAAACCTGGACTAAACCTGGTCTAAACCCGGTCTAAAGCTGATCTAAACCTGATCTAAACCTGGTCTAAACCCGGTCTAAACCCGGTCTAAATCTGATCTAAACCCGGTCTTTCTTCTGCTCCTGTTTGTTCTCAGAGATACTCGGCACTGAAGGAACAGTTCCAAATCCAGACTGAACCAGGACCAACCCAGACCAGGACTGAACCGGGACTGGACCAGGACCCTGCCGCTCGTCAGGTGACTGTACACCTGTCGGGGGAGGAGCCACAGACGACAGGCCCCGCCCACTCTGATGACATCGATGCTCTGAGTGAGGTCACTGTGGAAACGAGAGGAGACGCTGCGCTGGACGCAGACGACAAGGACAAGTGAGACCTCTGACCTCTGATCTCTGACCCTCTGACCTCTGACCCTCTGACCCTAAACTCTGTGTATTCTCATGTTTAAACTCTTAACTTTGTAGATTATTAAAGTATGACTTCTGTTTTAAATCTAAACTCAAGTGTCAGAGTGGATGTTTTGTGGATGTTTTGCAGTGTTACGAGTCGTGTCTGTGGAGCTGTGTTAATGAAGCTCGTCTCTGTTTCACTTTTGCTCGTTGCTCTTTGTGTTTTTTCCTTCACTTGTTCTTGTAAAGTTTCGGTCTGATTTATCTTTAGATTTATCCTCGGTGACTCTAAACTTTCCGTGCCGTCACAAGTCGTTCCTCGAGCTCTTGGTGTTTACATCACTGTAGTTGTTTTACAGGACGTATTTTGAAAGGACAGGAAGTTTATTTTGACACCACGTGTTTATTTCCTGTTTTTCTCCTGATAAAAGTCTGGAAACACTACAAGTTAATTTGAGTGGCGAATAACATCATGACGTTGCTGGAGTGAACTGTCCAACCGGTTAAAACAGAGAGCGACACCTGCATGTGCACTGCCTCCACTGCCTGTGTATTTCGCCAACGTGAGCGTAAAAATGTCAACTTTTGGATGTGCAGTTTTTAGAATGTATTGAAAGTGACTGAGGGAGGCTCCACTGTACCTGTTAGACGCTCGTATGGAGCAGCATGTCCTGAAAATAGAATCCATCCAGAATAGTGACGTTTGTGTCTTGTTGATAATGTGTAGGTGGATGAATGTGACCTGAAGTCACATGTTAAAGACCAGATATGTATCGGTTTCAGGAGCACATATCCAAGTGTCCTGGGACACATTTGAAAAAATCAGATCTGTGTGGTTCAAACTGTCATTAAAAGATCAGATACAGGAACATAGAGGCCAAAAATCGGATTTGGGTCACTTCAGGCTGCAGTCTGAACGCAGCCTTAGTTTCACTGTGGACCTGATACAAGTGACTAAACGCCTCAGTCCAGTTTGATCGTCTTTACATTGACAAACACAGAGTCAGAGCTGCGTGTTTGTCCTGCTGCAGCTTCAGGTGGAGTCGTGTTTGTGTCGACTCGTCTCTGGTTTCGTGAGGTTTCGTGTGTAAACTCTGACGCTGCAGTGGAGCCAGGTCCTTCTGCTGTGACGCTTTGGTGTAAATTTGGGTGATTGGCGGTTAAACGTTTGCTGCTCTCTGATTGGTTGTCTTCTCCCGCAGGTCGGATCTGTCTGAGGAACAAGAAGTGACCTCGTCGGTACAGCAGGAGAGCTGCCTCTGATTGGTCCGTTTGAGTATTCTGTATGTTTTTGTGTTATCGTAGATTTGAGCTGTTTTTGTATCGAACGCTTTGGTTTTTACCGAATAAACGTTTCACCTGCACCGAGTCTGTGTGAGTGACAGGAGTGCACCTGACACACGGAGAGAGCACCTGACACATGGGAGAGCACCTGACACACAGAGAGAGCACCTGACACACAGGGAGCACCTGACACACGGGAGCGCACCTGACACACGGGAGCGCACCTGACACACGGGGAGTGCACCTGACACACGGGGAGCACCTGACACACAGAGAGAGCACCTGACACACAGAGAGAGCACCTGACACACGCGAGAGCACCTGACACACGGGAGCGCACCTGACACACGGAGAGCACCTGACACACGGGGAGCACCTGACACACATGGGGGGAGGGCACCTGACACACTTGCGGCGAGGGCACCTGACACACTTGGAGGGAGGGCACCTGACACACTTGGGGAAAGGCACCTGACACACATGGGGGGAGGGCACCTGACACAATTGGGGGAGGGCACCTGACACACTTGGGGGAGGGCACCTGACACACTTGGAGGGAGGGCATCTGACACACATGGGGGGAGGGCACCTAACACACTTAGGGGGAGAGCACCTGACACACACGGGGGGAGCGCAGCTGACACACGGGAGGGTACCTGACAAACTTGGGGGGAGGGCACCTGACACACACTTGGAGGGAGGGCACCTGGCACACTTGGAGGGAGGGCACCTGACACACTTGAAGGGAGGGCACCTGACACACACGGGGGAGGGCACCTGACACACACAGGGGGGAGGGCATCTGGTCTAATTGCGTTTTGCGTTTGAGGAACAGACTCCAGAGTTCCTCCTGTTTCTTGTGAAATCTCAGTGAAACTAAGACTTCCTCAAAACCAGGACTGAGTCTAAATCTGGGCCGACAAGGACCAGAGCGGCTCTAGACCTGGACTCAGCCTGGTCTCTGGTCTAAGCCCGGTCTGAGCTTGGTCTGGTCTGAACCTGGACTAACCCTGGTCTAAAGGAGGACTCTGAAGATGCAGCAGATCCTGGTCTTGGTGCTGGTCCTCGGAGCTGGACTTTCTCAGGAGGTTTCTGGAGGTGAAGAACACACAGACACACTCACAAAAAAATAATGGTGTAGTCCTGCTTTGGTCCTAGTTTAGGCCTGGTGTGGACCTGGTTTAGTCTTGGTTTAGTTCTGGTTTAGTCCTGGTGTAGACAAAGTTTAGTCCTGTTTGGCCCTGATTTAGTCCTGGTGTAGTCCTGGTTTAGTCCTGGTGTAGTCTTTAGTCAGTTCTAGACCTTCTTCTCTCGACTGTGGGGCTTTTGGGTTCTGGTTCTGGTTCAGATTCTCTTAAAACGATGATGACATTTTGGATTTTTAAAGCATCGCCTGAAGTTTCCTCTTTTGTTCTGAAAACTCTGAAGCGCCAAGAATCAAATAAACGCCCGAAGAAAAGAAAGAAATGTGTTTTTAGAATATTTGAGACACATTTAAGAACAAAAACAGAATCTGAAACACTTTGGATCAGACGTGACCTGAGCTAAAGCTGCACTACGTCACTTTTCTGCTCAAGGGTCCTGCTCCTGCTTCTGTTCATTTCATTTGTTTATCTCCATGGGTCACGGGATCAGATCTGTGGAGAGGCGAGTCCGCACACCACAGAAGAACACATCTGAGAAACAAATCCGAGACATGTTTAATGCCGTACTGTGGGACATTCTCTGTGCACAGAGCGCCTGGCAACAGCAGCAACAGCGAGAACAGCTCAGTCAGCGACACGACTTCCTGTTCAGTCTTTGTAGTTTCAGTCATGATCAGTGAATATTTACAGAATAAAATGTACAGAATAATAATTACAGAATAATATTTACAGATTAATATTTACAGAATAAAATGTATACTTTAATATTTACTGATGAATATTTACAATATTATATTTACAGATGAATGTTAACAATTTAATATTTACAGATGAATGTTAACAATTTAATATTTGAGAGAATGAGAGCCTCGCACATCAACTACTAGAGACATTGGAGGAGAGGGAGCAGCCCCAGAACATACAGAAAAATCCCGCACACCGTCTTACTTGCAAACTGTGAAATTTATTAGGACAAACCGTGCAACGTTTCGGCACTAGGCCTTCGTCAGGCAAACAGCTTACAATTTAATATTTACAATTTAATATTTACAATTTAATATTTACAGCTGAATGTTTACAATTTAATATTTACAATTTAATATTTACAGCTGAATGTTTACAATTTAATATTTACAGATGAATATTTACAATTTAATATTACAGTTTAATATTTACAATTTAATATTTATAATTTATTTACAATTTAATATTTACAGGTGAATATTTACAATTTAATATTTACAATGTAATATTTACAGATGAATATTTACAATTTAATATTTACAGTTGAATATTTACAGTTGAATATTTACAGATGAATATTTACAGATGAACAGAATACAATAGAAAGCCTTTATTGTCATTATACACAATATAATAAGATGCAGAGCTGCTCCTTCAAAGTGCAAAACATAAATAAATAAAAATAATAATAAATAAATAAACAAACAGTTCTCCGTGTAAAGTTGAGTTCAGTTTGGTGACAGCTTTGGGAAGGAAACTGTCCCCAACAGATGAATATTTACAGATTTACAGATGAACAGAGCTGAAAACAGGTGAAAAATGACAAATAAAATGGATCCTGGAGTGAAAGAAACGTCTGTTTAAAAAAAATAAAAATAAAAATTTTAAAAGCCCGTCTGTGTTTAGAAACAAATATTTGTGTCTCAATGCTAACGCTAATGCTAACACTAACGCTAACTTCAAATCAGAGCATCCAAATGTTCCCGTTTCTCCAGAATAGTCCCAGTTTTGAGTCTGTGACATCTCTATTTCTGACAAAATTGACCTTGACAATAGAAAAGAGAAACATAAACTGACATTTGTTTAGGTAAAATACAGAAAAGCTGCTTAAGAAACGACCAAAACACAAAGAAAATGTGACTAAACTGACTCAGGTTTGTCATAAATGTGCTGAGTGCAGAAAAATTTTCCTTCATTATTCACTTGTTAAACAATTTTATTATTACCAAACACAAACTGAGAGTGTCCCAGTGTTTTATTTTGAAATTCTGGTTGCCCTAACATTAAGACATAATAAATATTAAAACAAAAACAAAAAAAAGGGTGTAAAAAGATTTTGATGAGTCTGTCATTTTGAATTAATCTGGTGAATAAAACCAACATCACCGCACTTCTGGACGTTGTGGAAAAGGTTTATTTGTAAAGAAAAGTAGAAAAACTTGTTGAAAATGACAAAAAGTAGAGTTTCACACTGATGAGAATTCTGTTCAAAACTTCAACTCAATTTACACGAGAAACAAATTTTTCTGACACTTTAAACACAATTTCAACACATCCCAAGTCCTTAGTCCTGGTTTATTCCTGGTTCTGACACGGTCTGGTCTCTGGCGTCGTGTTGAAGTGACATTTAGAGTTTATTTTTGTTTTGTTTTTAATCCGAATCAAAGTGCAAAGTCTGACAAAAAAAAAAGAGAGAGAAGTGAAACAGGAAGTGGAAAAGCATCTGTTTCCTGTTTGTGTCATCCCGAATCAACTCCAAAAAAAAAAAAAAAAAAAGACCTGGCAGAAACTGGTTTTAGACCTGAAATAGACCTGGTTTAGTCCTGGTTTAGTCCTGGAATAGACCTGGAATAGACTTGGTTTAGACCTGGTTTTGAACATTCCGGGTTAAACCCAGTTCATCGGAGGTTCTCGTCCAGGTCTGGATCAAAACCCTGGTCCGGTCTCTGGACTCGTGGACTCGGAGGTCCAGTGGAGGAGAGATGTTCTTGAGTCCATCCAGCACCTCGTCCAAGTCCAGACCCAAGTCCTGCAGCAGCTCGGCACCCTGGGAAATCAGGTGAGAAACCAGGACCAGACCGGAACTGAACCAGGACTGAACCAGGTCTAACCGCGGTCCGTTTCAGGTGTCTCTACTGGTGGAGAATCATCAGGCTCTTCTTCTGCAGACGTCACGAATCGCCACAAACCTACAGGAAATGACACGCAAGATCCTGCCCCCTCCGCCGGACGTGTCGTTCAAGAGCCGCGACGTCCAATAGGAACGTTCGGCCCCGTGTTGGAGGCCCGCCCCCTGAACGCGCGTACGGCCTGTGATTGGCCGAGACGATCTTCAAAGAACCAATGAGACGTTTGATTCTGATCGAGTTTGATTTTTCTGTGATTTTAAATAAAGAGAAAAAAGTTTGTGCGTCTCAGAGTGATTTATCTGATCTCTGACCTTTAACCCTCTGACCCTCTGACCCACTTGGACGTCAGTCTGCAGTGAAACATTTGAACCGTGGACTTGGAGACTTATGGGGACGTGTCACACAGGCGGGAAAATTACTTTATGAATGAATATAAAACTCGTTCACACAGAGTCGAGTTTGTCGAGAAATAAATATTTCCGTCCCTCTGTTTTCCAAAATAACATGGTGCTCACAGCATCATTTTTCAAAAAAGTTTTCGTTTACATTGACCTACACCGAGTCTCTGGGCGAAGCTGGATCAGATTTAAACCTGTAGATTTTATTTCATTACAGTTGTAAGTTTTAAAATGGTGCATTAGTGAGTGACTCGCCTCTCCACAGATCTGATACAGCCAAACATCAACTGTGTGCAAATGAAAAACATGAAAAGAGTTTCAGCAGAAGAAATGTGACTGCTGCTCTGATGCTTCATCATCATCATCATCAGAGCAAAAGAGAATCACTCGTCGCACTTTTGGTTCCTAAAACTCCATTTATCTCCTTTACACACAAACACCAAACTGTAGCTTTTCAGAATCTCCACTCGAGCCCAAAACGATTTGTTTTCAGAGACAAATTCACCATTTGTGTGTAAAAGACGAAACAAACAAGGGGAAATGTCTATTTTAAAAAAAATACTCATGTGTAACCGGGGCCTTTTATACCTAAAAAAATCTTCTCATACAAAAGTGATTGTTCCTCTCTGGGCCTGTGAGTTCTGAAGAGCGACGGGAGTCGGTCGGTCGAGTGTTTATTCACTGATCTGAAGGTTGGTGGTTCGATTCTCGCTGTAGACGTAAACAGGTTGGGGGTGTGATTCCAGCTCCCACAGACGAATGCTGTTGTTGTGTCCTTGGGCAAGACACTTAACCCCTCCTCGCCTCCAGAGTCTGTGTGCACTGGTGTGTGTGTGTGTGAGTGTGTGTGTGCGTGTGTGTGTTTGTGTGCGTGCGTGTTTGTGTGTGTGCGTGTGTGTTTGTGTGTGTGTGCATGCGTGTGTGTGTGTGTGTGTGTGTGTGTGTGTGTGTGTGTGTGTGCGTGTGTGTGTGCGTGTGTGTGTGTGCGTGTGGTTGTGTGTGTGTGCGTGAGTGTGTTTGTGTGTGTGTGTGTGTGTGTGCGTGCGTGTGTGTGTGTGTGTGTGTGTGTGTGTGTGCGTGTGTGTGTGTGTGCGTGTGTGTGTGTGTGTGTGTGTGTGTGTGTGCGTGCGTGTGTGTGTGTGTGTGTGTGTGCGTGTGTGCTTGTGTGCGTGCGTGACGTGTGTGTGTGTGTGCGTGTGTGCGTGATTGTGTGTGATTGTGTGTGTGTGTGTGTGTGTGTGC